GTGTAAAATTAAGATGAGATTCTAAATTAATATACATTCTATAATCCATATGGAAAGCCCAATTTAGATAACCTTTGAGATTCAAATTTGAGATCATGATGATAATACTTACTAAGAGAAAACACCTTAAGAACTCAAGTTAGTCACTTGTGTTTGATGATTGAACTACAATGCTGTATAGTGTGTATAAGATATGATAATTGGAAACACTATAGCATGTGATTCATACCACATTTGAAATGCTTTCCAACTTTATCACAAGAGCATTGTATCCATAAATTTTTAGAATGCTTTCATATGGATAATTATAAGTTTGTGGACACCTTTGTGTTAAAATTCAAGGCTTTAAGTTATGAAATGTGTCCTAAACTCCACAAAAAGAAGAAGAAGAAGAAAAAGATATCTAAAGTGTCATATTTAAGTGTAGTTAAAAGCCTTATGTATGCAATGATATTTACTTACTTAGATATATATTTTTGCCATTTGTTTGGTTAGTCGATCTCAATTTAATCCCGGTGAAGAGCATTAAAAGGCTATGAAAGATATCTCAAGGGCATTGTGGATTATTATCTATGTTATTATATGAAAAATTTACCTATGATTGAGTACTCATATGTTAATTGAAAAGAAGACCTCAACGAACACAAATCCATTTTTGGCTATGCTTTTCTACTCAATAATGACGATATATCTTAGAGTAGTATAAAGTAAACTTGAATAGCATTATCTACTATAAAGGTTGAATTTATAGTCTATTCGAGTCATCGTGCAATAAGCATTATGGTTAAAGAGATTCCTTGAGGATTTGGAAGTTGACGATAATAGTTCGAGGTCCGTTACAATCTATTGTGATAACTCGAAAATTATTGCTTATACCAAGGATCTTAAGTACCATAAGTAGAACCAAATATATTAACATCGAGTATAATTATGTTAAAGACATTATAAAAAAAAATAAGTATAATATATATCTATGCATTAAATGATAGTAGATCCACTCACAAAACCCATGCCAAGAGATGTGTATCTTGGACACGTTAAATCTCTTGGAATGCATAAATTATAACTTTATTATAATAATGAACAATTGAGCTTTATATATTGGACTACTTCTTTTACGATTGAAATTTGATGTTTCTACACACACATGTGTTACTATGATAAAACTCAAATTTGAAAGTCACATAAATTTAGATTGGCTCTCTCACATGAGCAATCGCCTCTAGTGTTGTTGGGAGCGAGTAGAGATGAGACAAAACTCATATAGCGTTGTTAAGAGTGAGTAGATTAAAAATGAGATTAAGAAACTATCACTTTAATGTAAAATTAAGATGGGATTCTAATCTAATATACATTCTATAATAGATCTAGAAAGCCCGATTCAAATAACCTATGAGATTCGATTTGAGACCACGATGACAATACATGTTGAGAGAAAAAACCTTCGAACTCGGGTTAGTCACTTGTGTCCGATGGCCGAACTTGGATTTATATAGTGTGTATAAGATGTGACAATTGAGAACATTATAACACGTGAATCATACCAAGTGTGCAAATACGATCGCAAAAGATAGTGTGAGAATGAATTTACGCTTCTCCACCGTGTTAGATCTTTAGGGGAATAATAATATTATCTAACTTAATACTTTTATCACTTTTTATTGTTATTTGAGATTTAGACTTGGTGTCCGTTATCTTAACTAGTTACTTATAATTATGTATGATTTAATCTATAAAACTAGTTTAAAAAAGTAGTCAAGTTCGAAAAAGGAATTTCGAGTAAGAAAAGAAGACATGTTTGGTATATCACTTGCCGATCAATCATGTCGCTTGAAAGAAGTATCACTTAAGAGTAGTGTGGACATTGATTATGGATATACAATATGAAATCGAACTATATGCCGTTGTAGGATTTGACATAATGAGATATAAAATACAAAGAATTTCTACGGTATCGCAAGATTTATGATATAATATCACGTATATCATTTATTGATTTTAAATGGTAGTTACTATGTTATTCCTAATAGATGCATAGTAATAAGCTCTCAAAATGTATAAATGCTCGTTAGGTCACATAATCTATTTGCTAATATGAAATTTACCTTTTTATTTTGCTAGTAATATTGTAAAGAGCCTCGTGTCGAGTTGTAGCCCATCATGTGTGAGTGAGAGATGTTAGAAAAAATAGGTTTGGGTCGGGTCGCCCATGATGGGTTGACCTAACAACAAAATTATTAAAAAAAGGACAATAAACTATTATGCAGCTATTGTGTAGTTATTTCTCTAAAAATAATAGAATAAAAATAGATAAAAACTCTATACAAAATAGGAAAAACAAAAAGAAAGACTCGTTTTGGCACTTAAATTGTGAAATTTAAATAGTGATTTAATATTAATATATTGATCAAGCAAAACTACTTACAAATAAATGTTATTTCGATTCTGAACTTGTTTATTTTTATAATTTTATTACATAATGGTAACTAGCAAATATGCTCTTGATCTTGTCGTGGCTCGCGGGGCCAATTTGTATTATTTGTTTAGATATTTTTAATAGATTTATGAAAAAAATTAAATCAAACCAAATCTAACTTGGAAATATATTGATTTCAATCTTGAATAAATAAACAAAAGGCATATCATATCAATGAGTATTAAATAAAAAAATAATGGCCATGTGAAGGGAAAGACATATGTATCCAATAAATAACCCGAGTATCATTTTGCATTCTGCTTTTTCGATGCCTTTTATTCTAATCCGAGTACGGCATAAAATTTAATTTATAAAGACATTTGATTCAAACCATATTTTAATTCATAGTATGGTCGAATTCCTTGACTTTTTTATTTTTTTAATAAAAATTACAGGTTTAATATTAAAGCCTGAATATAATTTAAGAGGGGTTTTAATAATTCAAATAAATAAATAAACATAAAGATTGATGAAAAAAAGTTAAAAAAATTTTAAATTAAGGGATGGAGTGAAAAAAGATTAAGGAAGAATCAATTATTTTTGGCATACTACCGTAAATATGAAACATTTGATATAATTATGCATAGCACGTTAAGGATGTGTGATTAAAATAAATAGATAAGTTGAAATAATTAAATATTGCTAAATAAACATTTAATATAGCAATATGGATGTGTTTTAAGCAATATATATATATATATATATATATATATATATATATATATCATGTTTAGTGTATTTAAATTTTAATTGAAGAAAAAAAACTCTAAAGAAATTTGCAAACATCAAGTTAAATAATTGAATAATAATATAAATAAAAAATAAAGTAAAAAAGGGCCAAAACCAAAAGAACAGTGGAACTTAATAATAAAAAAAAACGTGAGGCGGGCCTAGCGCACGCATTTGCAGGCCCGTGCACATGCGCCTAATAAACCAGGCCGTACCTTATCAGATTTTTATTTTGTTTTTTAAGTAAAAAAAGGAAAGAAAGAAGGCAGACGACGTGCCATCTCCATGTCACATGAAGGGTCGCCAAGTGTTTTCTTCTCCAGCGATTTATAGGTGACAGAAAAGCATCGAGTTGCCCCCGCTGTTGCTGCAAAAGCGGATTCGTTATCATTTTTGGATAAAAATATCTCCCCGTAATCTAAAAGACATTATAAATCCATTTTCAGCATCAACATCAATTTTTATCCACATTTAAACAACAAATAACTACATTTCTAACTCGAAGCTTCAATCTAGATTTTCGGCTCATTCCTACATTTCATTTTGAAGACTTGAATTTATAAAATGGAGGATGAAATAGGTTTAATCCTTTGCCTTTTTTTTTTAAAAAAATAAGTTTTGTATTTAATTGTTTCCTTTGGTTAAAAAAACTCTAAAACTCAACGGTAGGATAAAATCATGATCTAGGGATGACATTACAGATAAAAAATAAATTAATAAAGACCTAAATCATAATAATAATAAAAGTTGATAGCTAATTTTGTGCCGGCTTAAAGTTAGAGTTTAGTTTTTAACCAATTAGCTTTTTATAAATATCTCAAAAAAAATAAATAAATAAAAACGTGTACGTCCACGATTCGTTATGAGAAAGCGCCCAAATGTCTCGCCCGAGGATTCGTTGACCGGATAATTCCCTTCCCCTCTTTATATAATAGTAATAACGCAAAACCCCCTATCGCAGAGTGAGTCAGTCTGAATCTGATCCAAAAGGAAAATATCATCCCTTCCCCGATCCCTTCTTTTTTATTTCTCCAAAAATTAGGTTAGGGTTTTCTATTTTTCGTCGACGAACGATTAAATCGCTACGAGCTCTTCGTCTTCGTCTCGTTTTTTAATTGAATTAAATTAAAGATTTTTATTAAAAAAAATTTGGATTAGGGTTTTGAGATTGAACGTTTACGGATCAGAGAAGGAAGGGGGTTGGCCGTGGTGGGTTGTTAAGGGGCATTATAAATAAATATGCGTATTGAAACTGCCATAGAAGAATTTGTTTTGCTCCCTTATTGTTGTTATTTGACGCTGTTTTGTGGTGGATTGTGCTCTCATCGTTTGAAGCGTTGGCGTGCTAGTCATCTCTTCAGTTAACATTAGGATTTATTTATTCACTTTTTTTTCACTCTCTCTCTCTTAGGGTTTTTGTTTCCGCTCTCTTCTCAGTGGGAATTTGTCGAGAAGTCAGAAGTAGAGATCGTGTTTCGAGGATTTTATTAGACTTGGTAAGATTCTTTAACATTTTTTTAATTATAGCGTCTGTTGATGAGATTGTTTGTGTGATAGTCGATTTGATTTTCGTATATTCCATTTGTTTGATGATTTTAATTTAAAGAATTATTAATTTGTTGATGGATGATTGATAGCAATCTGAACGATTGTGTTCCATTTTTCTGATATGATAGTATCGAAACTTTGGATTGGATGTAGGAGTGTAATGATTTTTTTCGGAGAGAGATATTCTTTTTTCTTACTTTGTTATTTTTTGCAGTTTGCTATTTATTGATTTGGTGTTATAATCAAAATGAGCTCTCGTCATCGTGCCGTTGGTGATGTACTGGTGGATGAACTTGAAAGCAATCTTGGCAGGTTTGCACGTATAACAGATGTTGAAGAAGAAACATATACGTCTGATGGGGATGATAACAGCGATCAGGGATATGATGACCTTGAACCGTATGGCCCTCACCCTGTTAAAAAGGGCTGTGATAATTCATCCTCAGTGGCTCCTTCAGATGGAGAAGATAATGAACCTGAAATTGGGTTGCAACTATTGTTCCCTGATGAGTTTTCTCACTTGAACTCAACCCGTTTGCCTGTAAGCTATCTCTGTCTATTTCTAATTCCTTCTCTGGAATTTTTGTGTGCTACTACTCTTGATCATGACGTTTGCTTGTGAAAACGTAATGTTTTGATCGGAGGCATGATTCTCGACACATATGTTACTGCTAACAGAAGTGCAGTATTCTTGGATGTTTTCGGGCATGCGAGAACATGGTTCTATTGTATAAAAGTAGGTTCTAAAAAGTTCTTTCTTATGCATGAGTTTATGTATTTGTGAGTATTTGATTTCTTGAAGTATACCTGTATTCTCTTGTTGGTTTGGCTGAATTTCCTTCACTATAAAGCAAATTAGGTTGCTAGTTCCTCGTCCTCAAATCTGTGTTTTTCTTCTGTTAATTGTCCCCGTAGAACCAAACAATTAACTGTAGGAGTGAAATCTTGATAGAATGCAAAAAGAAAGCATCATGTCCAAGGCAATAAAAAAGTTACCATTTTTTATACAATTAGATTAAACAAAAGGATTGTCAACTAAAAGTGCTAATGCTACAAGCATTGTAAATCCTTGAAGCATCCATAAAAAGACACAGACAAAGAAAAAGAGATATAAGGAAGCATTGTAAATGTATCTCTGTATCTGGATTTTAACATTATTAGTGGGGTGAATAGTTTTTACTATTACCTCTGCCTGTTGAAGTTAGTTTATTCTGAAAGTATCATGCCCCTTCTAGAAGTTCAGATAACTTGTTTCTATACTCTCAATTCAATCTGTAGGCCTTCATGATTAATTTGGTCTTCTCTTTGCTTGAAGCTTGTTTCTGCAATGAAAGGTAGCCGAGAAAAACAAGGGTCACCAAGGAAACTGACTGTGTCATGGGCCCCAGATGTGTATGATCCAATTCCCAATTCCTTGTCTCACAGTGTTAAAAGCAAGCAAAAGAAGTCCAGGAAAGATAGAGATAAAGATAACAATCACAATAAGAAAAATGGGAAGAAAGGGCAGAAGGGTAATTCATCAAAAGGGTTAGGTGGCAAAGAGAAGAAGCAATTTCGCAAATCTGGTGGGAGGTCTGATAGGTGCTATAAAACAATGGATGCTTCTGAGCACCCTGATGATTTTGATGTTGGTAGCCCAGACCAATGTGGAAGTAGCTTCCTCAAAAAATCAGCTACCCTGTTTCATTACTCTGTCGCAGAGGCATCATGAGCTTACTCTTCATTCACATCCCGTGCTTTGTTCTGAAGCTCTGTGAATAAATAAAAGCTTTATTGTGAAGGTTTTGCTTATTGGCCTTGATCATAACTTTGAGCACTTTGCTGCCTCCTTTGTGCATCTTTTTTTGACGCTGACTTTTTAAAGTTTAGTTGGCATTGGTTTTACCGTACCTGGATGTTGCAATTTGCTTTGTAAATATAATTAAAATGGTTGCTATTCCTTTTGCTTCCTGTCATGCCTTTTGCCTTCCACTGCATTTTGTTGAAGCTTTGATAATTGCATCTAGTCTTCCGTTCTGTGCAGAGCATTCCGAGAGGTAACTTACTTAACCAATTCAATTTGGATGCACCACTTGGAGGCAAACATGAGCCTCCGCCTATCTGTGGTTTTGCGTGCCTGATGCCCATATGGAGACAACTTCAGTTTTAGTTCGGTTTCTTATGTTCTCGTTTCAATAGAGGTGAGGTCGATTGTACTTCTACTTGTTTTTGTTGTACTCGATTGAGGGTTATGTTTTTCATTTGCTAGTTACAGCAATCGACTGCTGAATGCTGATGTTGAATTGAGTAGCGAAGGTGGCAATCCTCCTGTTTGAATTTATGACAATTAGTTGGACGGAGTCTTACCTTCACCAATAGTAACTTCGGCCTTTTCAGATGAAATATCTACTTAATATTTGATTGGACTCGAGTAATGAATGGATGATGACAAAACAGAAGGATATGCTGTAATAGGGGGAATAAGTTAGTGGTATGTCAACTGAAGGATATGCTGTGTATTTGGCATGCACTGCTTTTGAGGGAGACCAGATGCTGGTTGTGCATCACTGCTTTTGGGTTATCAGCTATTGAAGTATTGAACTTTCATCTTGAGGGATTAGGGCCATTGGGGTTGCGCCAACCTGCATGAGAAATCTGTCTTCGTAGTTTGTGGGTTTTAGTTGCAACTTGCAACCCCCAGGTTATGGGAAATCTCACTTACCGATCGACATGGATCCGTTGGACAGCTTCGAATCTGTATAGAGAAATGAACGATCTTAAGTCAAGCCATGCTGGGTTTGGTAGCGTCCTCCAAAAATAGCTGCACTGCCACGGATCTCAGTGATGGAGAAGGCATAAGATTAAAAACTAAATAAAAATTTGTCTTTACTCACTATCACAATCTCCCATCTTAACATGAACTGTTTGAAACCAATTTTCGAAAGAATTACTTTTTTTTTTTTTTGGCCCTTATCATATATATAATTTTTTTTTTTTTTTTTTTTTTTACGTTTAGTCTCTCTCCTAAACTTGTTCTTTTGTTGGCTTCTTGGATTAGTGGTGTTAAACAGTATTGTTAGAGCTTCAGAATTGCTCTCTGTGTGTTTTTGATTTTTTTTTTTTTTTAAATCTCGTTCTTCTGTTCCTTTTTTTTAATCAAATTTAAATAAATAAATTTTGAAAAAAATGAAAATATTTGTTTTTGAATATATGCATAGTTCAAATAATAAAGTAACAAATCAGCACAAGCTATCTGGCCTAATGATTTTATTGATTTATTTTAATTATCGCACAATAGAAAAAAAAAGTGTTATTCCATTACTAAATTCATGATTGACCAAACGTTATTCATAAATTTTTGTATAAAAAACAAAAATAATATCATATGGTATGTCAATCACTCTTAACCTTGTTTTTTTTAAAATAAAAATGAAATAAAAACAAAATAGGATGAACCCTAAAAATATTACATGCTCCTAACTTTAGTCAGATTAGATATTTGACCCTCACAAATAACAAAAAAATCAAATTTAAAACCTTATTAAATATGTTAAATCAAATCAATGATTTCAAATTTAATTACGTTCAATTAAATTCAAATTAAGTAAATTGAATTCAATAAATCATTCAGTGTATATTAATTATATAATTAATATTGCCAGAACATAAATTATTAAAATAATCATGCAACATATAAAATTTCTTTTGAATTAGTTCTGGTTTGCACTAGGTATTTTGCTCGCACTATGCTACGAATTGAATAAAATATATAAAATCGTTTAGAGAAATTATTTCAGTTTGATAGTTTATTTTATGATGTGAATCTATAAAAATTTATGAAATCAAAGGTGAGAAAAATTATTAATAATTTTTTGATAAAAAATGTTATATTTAATTATTTCTTATTTATGTTTTTCATAATTTTTTCTTTAGAAAAAGGATTTACCTTTGTTAATCCATGGATTATGAACTAAAATAAAAATTAAATAATTTTTTTTAAAAAAAGCTTTAGTATTTCATAAGATTGTGTTGCAAAACATAAATAACAATTATTAAAAGTTTACATAGAATTGAACAAATAATTTTTTTTATTTAATGTTGATGAGAATATCGAGTTTTTGAAAAAAATATGAATTTAATTTTTACATATTTATTTACAAAAGAATGAATAATATTAAAATAAAAAAATATATTAATTTGAATCATTGAGTGGTTAAGCCAAAACATTATTTTAATTATTTAATTCAAAAAAAATAGTAAATGCTTAGTGAAGAAAAATAATATTATTATAGTACGATCATAATATTAATAAAATATGACTATATTAAAAAAATCATAAATTAAAGTAGTATAATTAAAATAATTAAAAGAAAACACTAAAACAAAATATGGCTAAATCACAATACAATTAAAGTTTGAAATTGAAGAAAAAAATATAGAAAAATTGAGGACCAAAGTGTTAAAAAAAGACATAAATAGTAAAAAGAATAGTGATTTTGTGAGTGTGTGAACATTGTTTCAAATAGTGAAAATAAATACTAAAACCATATTTTACTTTAGTTTTATATACTAGACGAGTTGCTTGCGCTACGTTGCGGATCCGGTTGAACAAAATCATTTTAAAAATTTTTTAATTATAATTTTGTATTTAATTAATTTTTCTAATGTTTTTTTTTATATAAATTTTTTGCTTAAAAAAACATAAATTATTCTTTTTTATGGATTGATTTTAACTAAAATATTAATCAAGAATTAAAAAACTTTAAAAATATATTTTTCATAATATCGTATTAAAAAAATAAATTTATAATTAATAAATAGACTTTTATAAAAACTAACAAATGGAAAAAAAAATTCTTATTTAATGCTGATAAGAAGATTAATTTTTGAAATTATCTACGTAATGTAACAAGTAGATTATGGGTGATTATTCGATTAAACGGTTCAATTATGCATAATTCGATTTGGTTTTCGATTAATCAAATTAAAAAAAATAAAAACAAAAAACGAACCAAAATTAATTTGGTTAATTTGATTTGAAACCGAATTATTTCGGTTTAGTTTCAAAATAATTCGATTTAACCAAATTTTTTTGTTGTAAAAAAAAAAAATAATAATTGGATTCATTTCAACTTTTCCAACCCAATATCCCAAATCAACCATCCACTAGGATCCACCTCATAATTGATTCCGATGGAGCAGATACAGAAGCATACAAAAGGGGAAGAAAAGAAAACGCATAAGGAACTAAAGAAGGAATGATAAAAATCAAAAAAGATTGACAAATGAAGTATTATTGATTAATTAGTATAAATGCAATTTTATTAATTAAAGTCTCAAAATTTGTTCAATTTCAATAGAAAACAAACTCAAATGACAGCAACAAGAACAGATAAATTATGTAAAATGGGAGAGCAACACAAGGCCATTGCATCATCCCTGCAAAAAAGAGACACACATAACCCATATTCTAAACAAAATGGAATTATGAGCTTGAAAAAATGAAAATTTTCAGATGAATCTAATTGGACCTGGACCTTTGTAGAAAATACCCCCACAAGAATTTAACCTTCACGAAGTCCTTTATAATAATTTCAAAAGCAAAATAAACGAGTGAATGGAGAATTTCTTCTCTGAACCTTTCTCTCCTTTGAGCTCATACCATTACGGCTACCTTACTTAACTCTGATAGCACCAAGTAATAAATCTAAAATTCAGCTATAACTGTATATGTATTTGCATTTTCCCTAAACAACTATCTGATCAAGCTGCAACCCCTCAAGTCAGGCTCGCAAGGCCGCATGATCACTGGATTCAATATGAGGATTTAAAGTAGAGCCATCAAGGGTACTTGAGATTGGAATAGCAATTGTCTCTTTCACCTCATATGGCGAGTCCTTTAACACTGAATGAACCCATGACACATCAGGCTCCTCTCCATCATGCTCGATTGAACATGATGTGTGTAACTGACCATCTGCTTGAACAAACCTATACACATTCCTGTTCTCAGCTTCCCATATTGACCATGAATTTGTACAATTGGATCCAAGGTCATATGATGGCTTGGAACCAAATTTCTGTGAGAGCAGGCTACTTTGTAATTATTGTAGCATCTTCTCTCAACGAACATGAGCAGATAACTGAAAGCCTATAGAGGACAAAAGATCATTGATATAAGGTGACATCCCTTGCATTGGAGATGTTAACTCAAGCAGGAAGGAGCAGAGTGAAAGCGAAAACAGAGTTTTGGGTTTTGATTTATCCACTAGCTAATAAACCATGGGTGCCCCTGTTATCTCAAGCAGGAAGGAGCAGAGAGAAAGCAAAATCAGAGATTTGGGTTTTGCTTTATCAACTAGCCAATAAACCACAGGTGCCCTGTTTTTCCGGACGAGAACAAAGCATGAGAAGAAGAGGCGAAAATATAGAATATGAAAGGAAAAAAAGGTAAAAACAGAGGCCTAGTGTAAGTGAAAACGAAAAGAGTAGAAGACTGAAGATAGAAGGGGAACTGGAGAGACTTGTGAGTCCATGACTGCGTCTTATCTTGCATGCTTCAGCTTTAGGCGAGAATGAAGATTGCCTTAGGGTTAGGGATTTAGAAATTAGGATTTTCTTCGCTTTGTATTTGGGTTTTCGATCCAAATCGGTTTTTTTTTTTTTTTTTCACAAACTGAGCCAAATCGAAATAATTTTAATTTTTTATTTGATTTTAAATTATATAATTTTATATTTAAAATCCAATCAAATTTTATAATTCGATTCGATTTCATTCGATTGTCAATTAATCGAACCGTTTGCTCACCGTTAGAATAGATAGAACAAAATCATTTAAAAATTTTATAATTTTTTATTTAATTATTACTATTTTTTAATATAATTTCTGCTTAAAAAAACACGATTTCTTTTTCTTTATTTAGGGATTCCTAAATAAAAACTTGTAATATATAATTTAAACCTAAAATATTAATCAAGAATTGAAAAATATTGTTTTATAAGAATATATCAACAAAATAAAGTTATAATTAACGTATAGACTTATATAAAAATTAACCAATAAAAAATAAAAATTTATTCTTATTTAATATTGATAAGAAGATTTACATATATTTGATCTATACATATTATATAATTGTCGGTTTGTATAAAAAAAAATAACGATTGATTTTTAAAAATTTTAACACCCAATAAAAAGAAAAAGAAAAAGAAAAGGCATGTAGTGCATCGGCTAGGGATTAAAATTTTTATTTTAATACTGGAAGGATCAAAATGAAATAATTTGAAAATTAAAAAAAAAAAAACCTAAGAAACAGAAAAAAAAAACTAAGAGTGAAAATTAAAAAGAAAAAAGAAAAAACCTAAGAGTGAATAGTACATTGTGAGGGTAAAAAAAAAAGTTAATCGTACATTGTGAGGGGGAGAATAGTATTGTCATAAAAACAAAAAATTTAAAAATATATTATTTTATAAGAATATATATTAAAAAAAGGGTTATAATCGATGTATAAACTTGCATAAAAATTACTCGGTGAATAAATAAATTTTATTCTTATTTAATATTGATGAGAAGATCTTTTTTTTTTTAAGTAGATATATATATGATCTCTATGTATTATATAATCTATATATATTATATAATCGTCAGTTTATGTGCAAAAAGTAATGATTGATTTTTAAGGAATTTAACATTCTATTAAATAAAAAAAAATTGATGGCAAAAAGTTAAGAAAAAGCATGTAGTGCATCAGATAGGGATTAAATTTTTTATTTTAAAATTTTAGGGATCAAAACAAAATAATTTGAAAATCACAAAAAACAAAAGTTAGAAAAAGAACTAAGAGTGAAAATTATAAAAAAATAAAAATTAAATAATTTGAAAATTAAAAAAAAAAGCTAAGAAAAAAGGAATGATTGATTTTTAAAATTTTTAACATCCAATTAAATAAAAAAACATAAATTGATGGAAAAAAGTAAAAAAAAAAAAAAAGGCATGTAGTGCATCAAGGGATTAAAATTTTTATCTTAAAATTTTCGGGATCAAAACGAAATAATTTATAAATCACAAAAAAATGTTAGAAAAAAAACTAATAGTGAAAATTAAAAAAAAAAAAAGAAAACTAAAAATGAATATTACATTGTGAGGGTTAAAAAAAAAAAAAAAGAAGGAATGAATAGTACACTATGAAGGGGTGATTTTTAAAGTATATACATTTGATATATATATATATATATATATAATCATCGGTTTATGTGAAAAAACATCACAATCGATTTTGAAAACTTTTAACACTCAATTAATAAAAAAGAACATAAATTGATGAGAAAAAGCCAAAGAAAACAAAGAAAAATATAGTGCATCGGCTTGGATTAAAATTTTTATTTAAAAATTTTAGGTATCAAAATGAAATAATTTGAAAATTAAACCTAAAGAAAAAAAACTAAGAGTGAAAATTACAAAAAAATAAAAATAAAAATAAAAAATAGAATAATTTAAAAATAAAAAAACAAACTACGAGTGAAAATTAAAAAAAAAAAAAGAAAAAAAAAACTAAGATTGCGTAGTATAGTGTAAGGGGAAAGTGAAGTAAAAAAAGTAAAAAGAAAAAAAACAAAAACCAATATTGTTCAAATGAAAAGTACAACGGTATGGGAGTTCACTGTTCATTTGAACAGTGAACTCCCCACGGATTTTAGTTATATGCACTAGTCAATTGTTCGCGCTACGCCGCGAGTCTAGTTCAACAAAATTATTTTAAAATTTTAAAATTTTGTAACTATAATTTCTTATTTAATTAATTTTTTTATTTTTTTAATTTTTTTGCTTAAAAGAATGTAAATCATTCTTCTTTACATGTTGATTTTAACTAAAATATTAATCAAGAATTAAAAAAAATTAAAAAAAAACTTTTCATAATATTGTATTGAAAAAATAAATTTATAATTAATAAATAGATTTTTTGTAAAAACTAACAAATGAAAAAAAAATTCTTATTTAATGCTGATGAGAAGATTAATTTTTGAGATTATCCATGCAATTTAACGGGGTAGATAAAATAAAATCATTTCAAAATTTTATAATTTTTTATTGAATTATTACTATTTTTTGTTTTTCATATAATTTTTGCTTAAGAAAACATGATTTTGTTTTCTTTATTTAGGGATTCCTAAATAAAAACTTGTAATATATAATTTAAACCTAAAATATCAATTAAGAATTTAAAAATAAATACTTTAAAAATATATTGTTTTATAAGAATATATCTAAAAAATAAAGTTACAATTAATGTATAGACTTGCATAAAAATTCACTAATAAAAGATAAAAATGTATTCTCATTTAATGTTTATGAGAAGATTATTTTTTTAAAGTACATATATTTGATCTATACATATTATATAATGGTCGGTTTGTGTAAAAAAAGTAGCGATTGATTTTTAAAAATTTTAACACTCAATTAAATAAAAAAAGAACATAACTTGATGGAAAAATCAAAGAAAAAAAAAAAGAAAAGGCATGTAGTGCATCACTTAGGGATTAAAATTTTTATTTTAAAATTTCAAGGATCAAAACGAAATAATTTAAAAATTACAAAAATAAAAACTAAGAAAAAAAATAAGAGTGAAAATTAAAAATAAAAAAGAAAACACCTAAGAGTGAATAGTACATTGTGAGGGCAAAAAAAAAAAAAAAAAGGAGTGAATAGTACATTGTAAGGGGGAGAACATAATTGCTATAAAAACAAAAACTTTAAAAATATATTGTTTTACAAGAATATATTGAAAAAAATAAAGTTATAATCAATGTATAGACTTGTACAAAAGTTAACTAGTGAAAAAATAAAATTTTTTTCTTATTTAATGTTGATGAGAACATATATATTTTTTTAAGTATATATATATGATCCATATATATTATATAATTGCCAGTTTAAGTGAAAAGAAAGCAAAAATTGATTTTTAAAAATTTTAACGTTCTATTAAATAAATAAAAAACATAAATTGATGAAAAAAAGTAAAGAAAAAATAAAAGAAAAGGCATGTAGTTCATCAAATAGGGATTAAAATTTTTATTTTAAAATTTTAGGGATGAAAACAAAAAATTTGAAAATCACGGAAAAATGTAAGAAAACAACTAAGAGTGAAAATTACAAAAGAAAATTAAAAAATTAAAAAAAGCTAAGAAAAAAAGAAGAAAAACACTAAGAGTGAAAAAAAAAAAAAAACTAAGAGTAAATAGTACATTGTGAGGGTAAAAAAAAAAACCATAGAAAAAAAGAGTGAATGGTACTTTGTGAGGGAGTGATTTTTAAAGTATATACATTTGATCTATATATATTATATAATCATGAACTTGTGTAAAAAAATAAAGAACAATTTTTAAAAATTTTTGCACTCAATTAAATAAAAAAAGAAATCAGAGTGATGAAAAAAAAAAATCGAAAAAAAGAAAAGACATGTAATGCCTCTGCTAGGTACTAAAATAAAACAATTTGTATTTTAAAATTTTAAGGCTCAAAATGAAATAATTTAAAAATTAAACCTAAGGAAAAAAAAACTTAGAGTGAAAAAAAAAACTTAGAGTGAAAAAAAATAATAATGTAAAAAGAAAAAAAAACTAAGAGTGAAATTTTTTTTTAAAAAAGAAAAAAACTCGAGATTGAGTAGTATAGTTTGAACGTAAAGTAAAGTAAAAAAAAAAACAAACAAAAAACAAAAAACAAAAACTAATACTATCCAAATGAACAAGTACAACAAGTGTGAGGAGTTCATCGTCCATTTGAACAATGAACTCCCCACACGTTTTAGTTATATGCACTAGCTAGTTGGCCGCATTATGCCGTCGGTCTAGTTAAACAAGATCATTTTAAAATTTTTTAATTTTAATTTTGTATTTAATTATTTTTTTCTATTTTTTAATAAATTTTTTGCTTAAAAAAATATAAATTATTCTTCTTTATGGGTTGATTGTAATTAAAATATTAATCAAGAATTAAAAAAATTTAAAAATATATTTTCATAATATTTTATTAAAAAATAAAGTTATAATTAATAAATAGACTTTTATAATAACTAACAAATGAAAAAAAAATCTTATTTAATGCCGACGAGAAGATTAATTTTTGACATTATCCACGCAATGCAACGAGTAGATAGAATGAAATCATTTCAAAATTTTTTTATTTTTTATTTAATTA